CAATCAGAAATTTTACAAGTATAACATTTCTGTTGTTTTATTATTTAAAACATAAACCTCTTTTTGTAAAATGTTTTTAATGAATGTAATGTTTTTAATTAAAAATGTTTTTTAAATGTAAACCTTTTTAAACTATATATGCAGTGATACTGATATGGTTGTGATGTAACGGCTTGTATAATATTTATTTATTCATTCATTCTCTGATCAGATATGTGTGTGCATATGTACAATATATTGTATATATTATGCAAAATCTGTCATTTTTATTTTCACATTTATTTCAAAACATTTGTTTACTATTGTACATAGTCCTTTTCCACATAAAAAAATAAAATAAATAAAAATAAAAGTATGTTTTATGCTATATTTCTTTCAAATATATGTCACTTGGTTTTGATCCTTCATAAAGTGGTACAGGTACAATTTTTGTAAACTCTATTATTACGAGTGCAATGTTGAGTTCTATACACAATAACAAAGAAATTAAATTTGACAAATAAAACATTACATTTATATACTGTATCTTTGCCTGCTACATATAAAACTGCCACTGCGTGACAGCCATCTACTTATCAGCAAAAAGAAAACCTGTCACAGACACATATCTGTGTGGGGAATTTGGGGAAAAAAATGGAAAAATCTAAACCATATGCTCAATGCTTGGTGATACATAAAGAGCCAGAGAATGATTTTCTTTTGCTATAAGTACCGTATTGGCCCGAATATAAGACGACCCTGATTATAAGACGACCCCCCTTTTTCCAGATGTACCTTTTGGAAAAAGGCTTTTTAAAAAAAAAAAAAAAAAATTCTCAGTAAAACACATTTTGTCTTCAATTATTATCATATTGCATATTTGTCCTATTTCTAACATTTTTCCTTCATACACTCAGTGCTCTGGCAGGCGGCCTGTTCCCCTGCCCCCATCCTTAGGGAAGAGCGTCTGTGTGTGTGTGTCTTTGTTTCAGCGTATAAAATTACATCCGCCTGACATGCATTCAGCCAAGCTCCAAACAGCACAGTGACTCATTACATCATCACCAGAAAAGCCAGAAGTTCAATCAAACGTCCAGATTCTCATGGCCTGTGAGTGAGCGCACAAACATGTGTTTTCTGTCGATTTGTGAAGTCGACTATTAAGTGAACATGCGAGCCTGTGAGAGACACCAGCAGTCAGGGTGAAACGACAAAGCTGCGTTCACACCGACAGCTATTAAATCGCTTGAGATCGCAGAGCCTAGCTGTTGGTTTCCAGTAGAAACCTAACACTGGTAGTTGTTGCTTTGGTCCTCATCTGCATAAAGCCGAGCTGTGTTCTTGCTGCACTGGCAACAGTCGCTGCAGCCAGTATGTTGCAGGAAATCACCAACTCTTATAGAAAATGAATATCTGAACGTTTTGTTGCACCATATAAAGTAGGGGTGTAACAGTACACGTATACGGACCGAAAATTTTCGGTATGGGCCTTTCGGTTCGGTACGCATGTGTAAATTGTTCAATTTTTTCAGGAAATTCAGACAATAAATGCTGTTTTGACACTCTTTGATGTGGCGCAACTGATTGCTGTATAGAAGCCTCAGTTCTAACGGCAGCGCAGAGCGCGAGGTAGGTATTTAACCCTAAGAAAATTTAAATTATAATTGAATTTTTTAAAGAATGAGCAATTTGTTCAGTAAACCATTATTTAATAAATAAAAAAAAGAAGCAATTTATGTTTAGTTTTTTCCTCCTGCTGTACCGAAACCATACCACACCGTGACATCAAAACCGAAGTACGTAACGGTTTTTTTCTTTTTCTAATTTTATTTATTTATTCTTTTTTTTTCCTTCGCATTCTTGATTGATGGAATTTATGTTTTATGATTCCTGTGGCTTTGGTTTTCTGTTCACTTTTCTATCCATTAGGTACCCCATTTTAAAAAGACACCGGAGGGGGGGGGAGTTGAATTGATATGTGATATCATGTTGTTACTCCCGTTTGTATATTGTTGTTAATAAAAAAAATATAAAATAAACGAAGTACGTACCGAACCGTCATGTTTGTGTACCATTACACCCCTAATATAAAGTAATTCATGTTCCAGTAAAATGAGTAACCTTGCCATTTCCATGAAATGTGGCCATGTGATTGGTTATTTCTCTCTACAGATGGTGACATATTCACAGGCTGGACCTAAATGCCAAGAAGTTGCCACCACATCAATAGTCAGCACCAGTGGCAAAACAACAGCTGACAGAATCTGTTTGGCTCCAGACACTCAAGAGTCAAAAACGTCATGTTTATTCAAACCGAGCACATGCTTCACTCAAATTCTGTGGATTTCAGATAGTGGATTTTTAAATCTGTGGATTTTATATAGTGGATTACTAATGGTCCAGACTTGCATGACTTCTCCCTCATGGATCAAAGTGTCGAACAACCTAGAATACCTGTCTTACATATATAATGAACTAATAAATAGTTCAAATGTGTTTTTTTTCCTTTTGATTATGTCTTATCTTGCTTAGGGCACCAAGTGAGCCAGAACTGGCCTTAGTGCCCCATCAAAAAATAGGTTCATGATGTCTTTACTGACTCATCCCACATATACGGGCCATAAGACAGACACTACCTCCATACTGGACAAAAAGAAATACTGGTAAGACTGACAAACTTCCCATGAAGAACCACACACACAGGACCTGATGTCCATGGATTGACCATTTAGGGCCAGATTTACTAACGTCTTTTGGAGTTAAAATAGTACTGTCAGGATTTACTAAAGACGCGCAGTGAAGAAATTACACTGAAAAGGCGCATGGAGAGTTTCCCTTTCAGACGCAAAATTTATGGGAGGAGAGTATTAAAATGAATCACGCAATGTGATTTACTAACGTTTGCGCTCATCCAATTACTGGTATTTGCGGCATTATTTAACGCCAAAAAAGCATGTCTTAAAGCAGGCAGTAATTTGCGCTGCTCTTGGTAGATTGTGCTGGTCATTATGGAAATGATGACTCTAACGCTAATTTGCTCTGTTTAGTAAATCCGGCCCTTAGTATTTACGCAACATGTTATATGAAAAAATAGAGGTAAATATGTTAATGTTTATTATTGTAGGTTCATCATTGTTTTCATGTAGGTTCAACTGGACTTGTTTTAGGGCATTTAGCTTGACATTTTCAGGTTGTCTAAGGGTTTCACAACAAGCCAAGAAGGTTAGATGCATCCGAAGGGCATTGAGTTTGAGACGGAGCACAGATGTCAGTATAACAGAGAAATCAGACTGAGTGGATTTTCCAGTGAAGCGCAAAAGGATGTGTGCGCACTCACAATTGAGTGGCCGTGTTGCACATGAAATGCATGTGAACACTATTCAAGGATAGGAAATTTTCAGGGAGAGCTGGGACTTTAAATCAACCAATGGGAATGGATTCTTCTGGTCAGGTCAAACTATTTCACTAGTGAACTTTATGAATTATTTGTATGGTATGTAATATTTATATGAGGTTTTCAGTGGTTAATATAGACAACTGGAGAGTGGGTGGCTGATATACATGGTATGTAATATTCATATGGCTTTTAAAAAACATCCAGGGGTGCATTTCCCAAAAGCATTGTAAGCCTAAGTACATTGTAGACCCATTGCCACCAATGGATCTACGACCAACTTAGGCTTACGATGCTTTTGGGAAACGCAGCCCAGATGGATAAATAGATGAAGAAATGGGTAGAATATTACTCCAGGCTACACTCCAGAACTGTCACCACTGAATGCTCATCATGCGACAACTGGACACAGAACGGGGCGCCACGATTAGAGCAGCTGCTTGAAACTCCACTACATTGTTGTCATTGACTTGAATAAAACGGGGCTCTTTTAGATGCTTCAGAAGGCAGGCGGTCTCCTAGACTGCACGGAATCATCAAGCTCTTCCAAAAGAACATGAAGGAAAAGCTTTTTAGTTGCTTGTTAGAAACTCTGAATGTTAGAACACCTGCAGCGACCAAACACAAGGGTCTGTCTGGATTCCAGGCCTTCCTCATAATGGAAGAATCTAAAATACACACCAACCGAGTTTCTCTACAAGCTTTCATAACTCAGATAACAAGAACCAGAACCCTAGGGTGCTTATCAGGAGCTGCTTTCTGGCAGTGATGCTGCCACCGCAAGCTGCAAGAGGCAACAACTACGAACTACGAACAAGTACCCAATAGACTGTCTTGTAAGACATTGGCTTGACCATCTTCAAGAAGAAAAAATCACTATGTTGTCCATTAGATTACATATCACAAAAAACTTTAGCCACATGGCTGAAATCCACAAACATCCATTATTGCACAACACACCATATTGTTTTGAAAACTTACTGCTGAGACCAAGACAACAGTGTACAAAGTGTCTTCAGTACACAATCTAACTAAATATCACCCTAGTGTGTAGTGTCCTGACAATTTGCATGAATAAAATTATACTGTATGTATATGTATATGTATATATACTGTATATATACACACACACAAAAGACACAAAAGTTTGACATCTTTTTTTTTTATGTTTCTGAAAGATATCCCTACACTCAAAAAAGAAAAAATGGTAACACCTTAGTTTAGGGACCAACTCTCACTATTAACTAGTTGCTTATTAGCATGCTTATTCTTAACATATTGGCTGTTTATTAGTGCTTATTAAGTACATATTATGCATGACCATATTTTACATCCCTAAATGAAACTTACCTGCTTGAACTCTTTCATTTGATCCGGGTGTCTGTCTTTAAAGTGTTTTGTTAGTTTGGTGTGTTTCCTCGTTTTGATGTCGCCACGTCTCAGTGCTTTTATGAAGAGAGCGCATCTGCGCACCTTTCGGATAGCGCATCAAGAACCGGGTTGACCGGGTACTCGGTACCACCGGTACTTAAAAAATCCTGGTACCGTAACGTTTTCATTTTTTTAGTACCGACTTGGTACCGAAGTACCGGGTCTTTTGACAACACTAATGGTAACCTAGTCTTACCTTAAATGATGTTTCAGTCTCTTGCTGTGCTGTTCTGCGAGAGATCCAGTGTGCTGTCACTCTTTGTCCTCTGTCTTCCACTGAAAAGAAAGAGATACACTGAGATGATGGGAGGGAATAAATGTATACTGACATTTAAGCCTCACTTTTAGGGTCATTGACATATAAGAGTGTCCATGATAAAGAAAAGGAAAAATGTTTTTAAAATCTAGTTTAAAATGCATGTGACACGTTCTTAGAAATGTACTCTTTTTATTAATCTTGATTCCATCTTGATTTCAACAAATTTCAAGTTTAATTTTAATGACTCTAAAAAGTCATGCGGTATAACCATCAAGAAAAAAGTACAAAGAAAAACATTTTCCTTACATCTTGAACACATGTGATTATTACTTTCAAAATGTTTTTAAATTTACACTACCGTTTAAAAGTTTTGGGTAGGTAAGATTTTATGTATTATTTAAGAAGTTAATACTTTTAATCAGCAAGGATGCATTAAATTGACTTTTATAACAATAGATGTCCATTTCATTGAATAGCAGTTTTTTTGTATAACTGTTTTCATATTGATATTAATAAGAAATGTTTCTTGAGCACCAAATCAGCATATTTGAATTATTTATGAGAGTTTATATTAGTAGTGCAATGGCTGCTAAAAAAACAGCAGGAATAAATTAGGATTTAGTTGGAAAAAATATATTTAAAAAATTCACAATTCGCTACTGTGAGGAGCACAGAGCAAGGAGACGTGGAGTATACTTCAAACAAACAGACTTTAATTACCATCAATGGAACCAGGAACACACACGTAGCGGGGAAAGACGAACATTCAATACCAGACAACCAAACTCAGAACAGGACTCACTATAAATACACAGGACTTGACGAGCAGATGACGAGACACACCTGGAACTAATGAACAATCAACATGAGGGAAAACTGGGTCATGGAGCAAGTGGAGAGGGAAAAACACACAGATAGAGTCCAGGGGCGTGACATATCGCCCCCTCCCAGAAGGCATGTCCTCGCGCCGTAGAACAACAGAGGGGGGGCACGGGTGGATACTTGGGAGGAGGCTCGGGAGGAGGACGGACACCTGGGAGGGGGCCGGCAGACAGAGTCCAGGGAGGTGACGATGGAGGGAGGAGCCAGGGAGGGGACAGGAAGGACTTGGAGTAGGAGAGGCCAAGCAGGACCCAGGCCACAGCCATGATGGCAGCCCATGGTGGAGCCGACGGAGGGAGGAGCCATGGAGGAGGAATGGCCGCCGACTCCAGGGGGCCGACCAATGGCGGCGGAGCAGGTGGCGGAGACGGAGAGCCAACGAGCCAGGGGGATGCCGAGGGCTCTGGCGACCAAGGCGGAGGCGGAGATCCAGAGATCCGCGGCGGAGCCGGAGCGACTGAGGACCAAGGTGGAGCTGGCGGGAGGAAGGAGCCCAA